GGCTTCGCAGTTTAAATTTTCAACCTTGTAACAGAAAGAATTTATTGGTAAATCCCATAATTGAAATTCTGTTATCCAATCCGTACCAAGTAAGTTCGTGGTATTTTCTATGACAAATAGTTTAGCTTTTCACATTTTTTTTATTTAACATGACGTTTGTAACAAATTCTCCAATAAATTGTATTTTTTCTCCCGTTACTGACCTCGCGATTTTATTTGTTTTCATTAAAGTTGGTTTCCCCAACTTCTTCCACGTATTCAAATTTATGATAGATAGGTCGGAACCAGTGTCGAGTTGCATTTTTATTTTTTTATTACTTATTTCGACGGTAACAAATTTTCTGGTTATTCCGTCATTCACTTCGTCAGACTTTAATTTTCTTATTTTATTGTTTTTATTTTTTGACCTGCAGTGCAAGCTTTTATGCCCCACTCTTTCACAGTTGAAACATTTTTTTATTCCTAAAATTGCAATGTCTGTACCAGTGAAGTTCACCGCAAGCAAAACATGGCTTCGGGAGTTCGTGTTTATTTTTCTCTGGTATTTCACTTTTTGTTTCATAATCCACAATTTTAGAATTCTTTTTGGTAGACTAACTTTCTTTTTTGTAGCGTATTTTTCTTACATGCGAAACGCCAGACTCTTCTATCTTTTTCGAGTCTTTCTTTATGCTAACATATCTTGTGCAGTCTTCTGCAAAACTCTGTATCGTAATACTTCGTTGGTTTTCCAATTTTGAAAGTATCAATTTCCTCAATTCTGCGTCACTTTCTGAAACTAGTCCTTGAACAAATACTAAGCACTTAAAGTTGTCAGCGCTTAACTCTACTAGCTTGAATTCTTCACATTGGCTGCATACGTTATATAGTCTTGTTCATCCTCTTTCATCAGATTCAAACATTTCCACCTCCTGTGAAACAAAGATGTCTTTTTACTAAATAATTCACTTAATATATTTACCGCCTCGATAAAAGTCAACCCGCTAGTTTTTTTCGGTAAAATGTAATTTACCAATTTGTTATGCTCAGCAGTTCCTAACTTGCTTAAAAGAAGTCTAACCTTCTTTCCTTCAGACCACATGTGGCAGTCCTCATTATACACGTCCGTATATTTTTTATAATACTCTTCAAAACTTATCTCTTCGTCTGGACAGTACGTGAATATTTCAATCGAATTCCATATTGTATTTTGTAGATTTTTCTCTTTCCTTTTCTCAGTTATTTCCAGAATTTTGTTTTGAAACTCCTTATGCATCAGTTCCATTTCTCGTTGAAACTGTATCTGTCTATTAAAAGTTTCCTACTGTAATTGCATCTGGAATGTTTTCTGTTGCTCTAATAGTGTCATTTGTTGTTCAGTCTGGAACTTAAAAAATTCCTGGAATATATTTTTGCATTCCTCCATCTTCACAAAAAGTTTACACCATGCTTAAATATTGCAGAGGGGGTCCAAAACGAATTTGCAATTCGTGACCTATTTGAGCAAACTGTCTTATTGAGAAAAAAAAAAATTCTTTTCTCAGTTGAGAATACAACTGATTTTTTTGTCACTAAGTTGACGTCTTTTGTTTTTTTTAGTTTTTTTTTTTAAATGTGAATCCGAGATGTTGTCGCCGAAAATTTGACGAGCAAGTTTTTTTTCTTTTCGTCACTAAATAACGTGGCGAGCAAATTTTTTTTTTCTTTCACTATATGAATCTGAATCCCACATACGCCACGTTTGTTATGGCGGGTTACATTTCTTTTTGCTCTTCTGTATGAGTTACAAATCCACGTCGTCAAGTGTTGTAGAGTGAACGCAAAGTTTTTTTTTTCCGTATGAATCCAAAATATGTTCAGCACCAAGTGTTGTATATGGCGAAAACAAATTTTTTTTTTTTTTTATTTTATTTTTTTTTTATATGAATTTCGAATTCTGGTCGCCAATGTGTTGTTATAGAGTGAACGAAAACTTTTTCTTTTCCCGTATGAGAAACGAATCCTTCATCGCCAAATGTGTTGTAGTTTTCACAGTGGAGGCTTGTATTTCAATAAGTCGGTCCTAAAAGGGTCCGACGTACAAAACGTTAGGAACTTGCAATAATAGTTAATGATGCAGCAATGTCCAACATCGACTGACTCACTCAACTCCACTGAGCCCAACTGGTGACCACTACTACTACTTATTATGTGTGGGAGAGTCTATTACAATAGAATAGGTAATGTTCTAGTATAACAACTACCTAGCCTAGGGATTGAACTCACAATTATTATGCCACTAAATTCACAAACCCATGCTTTAATTCAATAGGCAGGGGAACCATCTTGAACTTTGGACCATTAAACTTAATTAGGCTTTTAAGTTTTAATTTTGGTTTTACGATATATTTCCACATATAAGACAACTTATAAATCTTAAAAATTAACCCCCAAAATAGGGGTCTAATACAATGCAAATACAACAGTTACAAAAAGCTACCCTGCACTGGTAAGTATGCTAGTATGCTTGCGCCATTTATTGCAATAAGCTAACAACTGCCTCAGTACAGTATCTACCGATGTAAATATTTCTAGTTGAAAATAATTCACATTATAATGCTGTACTACAGTTATAAATGTAATAAAACTAGTTTTATTCTTTGATTTCACATTAAGATGCAATATTCAAGAGACGATTGCACAACCATTTTCAAAAGTTCTGCTGAGCAACACACACAAGTAACAAAAAAATCTTCCATTTTTGATTTATAGAGCTATGTCTGCGTTCACGCCAATCATTTTTTCTTGTAGTAGTCTGAAATAACAAGATTTAAGATAACAATCTAGATTTCTAATTAGAATTCATTATCATTACGCTGTTAAATAACACAAACATTTAGTATCATATGTAAACTTTATTTTTCAAGAACATACATTATATGATATTTTTTTCTTTTCTTCATATGTTAAGCAATGAAACATTTAAGCTTGGTCACTAAGTGGCTATACTAAGTAACTAATATTGTTATGAATAACATAGGATGTATTACAGTACCTATTAGTAGTAGTAGTTGTAGAAATACTAATAAGAATAATAATAACGTCCTGGGTATGACGATAAACTACATCCGGTAGCAAGGCCTCTTATCAGGAGGTTTTGAGGAACATGGAATCACCTCTTAATTGTAGTTGTTCCCGGATCCATCCTGATCTAGGGTGGTAGCAACTGTTAGGGTCACAGCTATGGGCAAATAGTTAACCCCCAAATGTGGCATGAAATAATATTGAGTAAGACATACAAACATTATTTTTAAGCAACAAAACATTTAAGATGGCATAAGTCTTTATTTCTTATTACAGAAAATGCAAATTTTGTTTCCATTGGTACAAGTCATAAGAATGAAATTGTTATTTTCATAAAGATTCATGGTGATACTTTTTATCATTTCTTATTAAAGAAATTTCAGCAGACAAAAACTTATGAAACATTATCTGCGATCGACAATGAGAGATGAAAGGTTATCAGGGTTAGCACTGAAAATGAATGTGCTTGGTCCCTTGACTCTGATAAAGACATGAATACATTTGTTCAGGCTAAATCTAAAAAAAAAATTAAATAAATAAAAAAATTAAAAGAATCATATAAAATTCACTATTTTTTATCCATCATGTTGAATGTGTTAAAATTATTCAACTTTTTAACCAGAAAAATCTCAAGTTGATGTTAAAAAATACCGCAAAACATTGTTGATTTATTTAAGATGGAATGATCTATTATGACATGTCTCTAATTTGTATTTAGATACATTGTATTTATATTTTTTGTAGGCACAGGGTCAGTGTGTACTAGCCCCAATCACCTCAACTGCAGAGGGTGAAAGCCTGATTGGGGGCCCCAGGAGAGTGCTTTGTGACCCATGCTATCTTATCAACATTTGCTTTTTTTCCTACATAAACACACAGTGTATGTGTGTGTGGTCAGTTTCTTCTTCATCACCGAAGTCCGTTGGTCCAGTGGTATGATGCTTATGGCATATCGTAACGGTTCGGTTTCAATTCTTGGTAGTGGATGCACACAGCTGATGAGTCTCAAATAGGACAAAACAGCTGTCCAAGGCTTTCTGCATTCTGTTGAGGATTCTCCGAGACACAGTGACTATCTATATATATATATATATATATATATATATATATATATATATATGGGGGTGTATATATATATATATATATATAAATAAAAAGAAAGAACAGTAAGATATATAATCCGGTGTTCTTATAGATATTTTTATTTTTACAAAATAGTGCTCAATGTAAATTTACAGAGCATTAATATTATAAATTAATTGATTTAAAATACTACCAAAACGTAGCAATAACTGATACATTAAAATATAGACATATTGAACACCCAGTCACCCCTGTCTAGAAAAATAGATTTATCTGTAACCTTGGAAACATGAATTTTGTTTTAGCTGTGTATTTAAAACCAGTAATTTTAAAAGTTACTCCAAAATTCGCTTGAGGATGAAATGGAACTAATGTCTTTAATTTAATTACAAAATTAAATTCGGGGCTTTTAGCTTCCATTTTTTGAACATGGTTAGAACTGTGTAGCTTAAAAAAAAACATTTTAAATCATTTTTTAAATATATATATATATATATATATATATATATATGTCTCTGGGGGGGGGGTCTCGAGATTGTTGCACTGGCCCTGTTGAGTGCTCGTCCTTTGAGACCTTGTGCCAAACCTACCATAACAAGTGAGAGTAAATAGCTTTATTTCTTTTTTACAAATAAAAAGATGCATAAGAAAAACTAGGATCTGGCAAAGAAAACATTTTGAAAAATTTAATAAACTAAAAATAAGTCATTGATTTCAGATATATTAGTAGTAACAAAGTTTTGTGAATGAAATTACTGTTTAGAGTAGAAACACTGGAAAATCCAAAACATAAAAGAAGAAGAAGAAAAAAAAAAAAAAAAAAAAAAAAAGGAGTGTCAACAAAGTTTAAATAAACAACAAAGTGCTTGACTTACCACTAAAACACAACTTTCGTAATTTATCCATATCTACTACATCTGTTCCCAAAACCTCGGAAAACTGTTTCAACCTATAAGGAAAAAAAAGATTTCATTGTATTTATATATATCTAAACAGATTGTTGTTGCCACACCAGGATAAAATATTCTTTAGAAAAGGGATCATATTTTATTAAAAAAAACAGGATAGAAAAGTATCACAGCAATTAAAATTTTTAGGTACCTTTCAGCCGACACTTCTTCAGAATAAACATAATTGTCGGCAAAATAAAACCAAGCAGTTGACAAGAAAAATTATTATCAATGACTGATGTTAAAGAAAAATAAATTACCAAGACTAGGGAAGGGGAAAAAAAAAAAATATATATATATATATATATATATATATATAATAAAAAGGCTTAAACACTAATATTCCATGGTCATAATTTATTCCATTGGAATCGTAAATACGATCCAATTCATCAGACTTACAAATTCATAAAGAAAACAGAAAAAAAACCAACTCTGGAAATAAAAACAGAATTTAGAGAGAGTTTAAGTATGAGGAGGAGGGAGATTAAGCCTTAACAGAGAGAATTGAATTGGATTGTATTTACAATTCCAATGGAATAAATTATGACCATGGAATATTAGTGTTTAAGCCTTTTTATTATATCCTTACTCTTTCCTGGACATTGAGTTCTACCTGGATTCTCTTGGAATTTTTTTTTATAAAAATATACATGTTTGGGTATTTATATATTTTGCATATGTATGTATATTTTCCACTAATATTATATATATATATATATATATATATTTTTTTTTAAACCTTACTTCATAGAATATCAGACATTTCAGGAAAAAAAAAAAATTTAATATTAAATTTACCACTCTCAAATATTTCAGTTTCACAAACACTGAAATACAACCTTGATATTTTCTTTCAACTTTTTATTTTTTTTTTTATAACCTAACCGTCCAAAAGATGTTACCCTGAAAATAACCAGCTGCTTCCTGCCCTCCTTAGAGGACATTTCTAATTTTTGCTATCGCAGCAAGGCAGAAAGCATGATAAAAGACAGCATGCTATTCCAGGTATCAGTTGCTTGATCTGTTACCCCCAGGGTGATGTTTTATCAATGGATTCCTTTGTTTTCTGCAGATTATCAACCCTTTTGCAGGTTATTTAAGGCCAGAAAATATTTTTAGATTGTAAGAATTTTTTTAAGATAATAATGATTTACTGATACAAATACTACTAATTAACCCATAGCTGGGGGAGTGAAGTGGAGGATTCATACCCAATCAGAATTTGATAAACAAGCAAGAAATTATGTGGAAATAAAGTGGGGAATCATTTGTATATTACAATCAATATATAAACTGATCCCTCACTTTGTGACCATTCTCGAGAATATTTATGAATAAAAATGATAATAGGAAAACTGGTAATTGCTGACGCGTTTCGTCCAATGTGGACTTTATCAAAGCAAAATTGATATCAACAACAGTTCGTACTGCAGAATGCAACATCTATGTTATTGATAAAGTCCACATTGGACGAAATGCGTCAGCAATTACCAGTTTTCCTATTGTCATTTTTATTCATAAATATTGTCTTCTCTACTGGTTAAATCGGAGAAATTTTCACATTCTAGAGAATGGAAATAAATCTTAAAAGACATGTCTGCATAGCTAATCAGTATTTTATTTATGGACTGATTTGTTTTCTATGGATTATTGACAAACAAGAAATTATAATGTGGATATAAAGTGGGGGGATTAATTCTACATTACAATCAATATGTAAACCGATCCCTCATTTTGTGGCTAGAGTAATTTCTATAGATTTATATTCCAGAGACTGTAAATAAATCTAAAAGACATGCCTATGTAGCTAATCAGTATTTCATTGATTGAGTGATTGATTCATTTACTATAGCTTAATGCTTTGTAGGTTATTTAAAGTCAGAAAAATATTTTTAGATCGTAAGAAATGGAGAGATAATAATGATTTACTGATACAAGTCCTACTAATGAAATTTACACACAAGGTTACCAGAAAGATACATTTTGAAATAAGTATACAAGAAATAGATGAACCCAAAGCCGAAAATATGAAAAATAAACAAAATCTTAAGTAAAAATTTAGTCCATAAATAAAATTAAATTTTACGGTAATGTTTAACCTTAATGCACAAAAAAAAAAAAAAAAAACCTGTCAAAAGGGCTGTTATCCCCTTGAGGCCAATATAACTTTTGCCTCACTCGGCAATGTTTATTTACAAGATTATAAAAATATTTGAACTAACTAGAATGCAAGATTTATTATTTACCTTTTTATAAAGATTTATTGTTTACCATTTTAAGAAGAAATAAATTTGTAAAGAAACTTTTATTTAAAAGTTCATAAAAAAATACAAAATTATCAAAATATGTAAACCAACTAGTATGCAATATTTATTATTTACCATTTTATAATTCTTGTAAATATGAAATTATTCTTGCAGATAAGCAATCTGATAAATAAATAGTGTTTAACATCTTTGTTGTCAATTCTCAAGATTAAAGAAATAAATGTATAAATCCACTTTCATATGTTTGGGTTTTATTAAAAATCTAATCATTTTTTCAAACAATAAGCATTTTTCAAGAGAATCAAAAATGTTTATAATTATAATGGCGTCAAGGGAATAACTGGCTCTTTAACGCATTGGTTTTTTGGGGGGGTTTTTTGCAGGCACAAAAGTTAAACATTGCCTAGGATCTGAATGTGTAAAATGAGAAAACATAAGCTGAAAAAAAAAAAAAAGACAGAAAAAAAAAAAGTGTCTGATCATCAATTTTTAAAACAATGAACATTGCTAAGGAGTGAAGGTAGTTAACATAAAAGTGGTGTCAATGGAAAAACTGTTTTTTTGACATTTCATTTTTTGGTGGGCTGAAGGTTCAAGTTGCCAATAAATTTTTCTTTTGTTTTTATCCATATTGTCTTTTTACAAATATATTTTTATTTATAGCTAAATTTTGATATAATATATATGCACACAAGTATTTCTAAAGTAATCTTTTGTATTGCTATTATTCTAATTTACAGTAACTTTCAAATAACCTATTTTAATTTTTTTTTTTTTTTTTTATGTATAATCATTTTACTTTATTCATTGTCATATCTTTTACTCCCAAATATTTCAAGGTTGCTTTGATGCTTAGGTCATCAACCCATTTCAAAATTGCAGTTGATCACATTTTTGGCTAATTAAGTTAATTCTTTATTTTTTGATTCCTGTTATGAGATTTTCTTACTCAGAATTGATATGCATTAATTTCTGAATTTTTAACTTTTATATGAAATGGGAATATTGTTAAGAAAAGAAAAAATATTTTTACCAATTTTATTTTTTTTTGCAATGTTTAACCAACATACTAGAAAAAAAAAAAAAAAAAAAAAAAAAAAAAAAAATGGTTTATTTACAAGATTATAAACAGATGTGAACCAAGTACAATGCGATTTATCTATTATAAAAAATTATTATTTGCCATTTTATAAAGAAACCTGTTTATTCAAAAATTTCTAAAAAAAAAAAAAAAAAAAAAATGCTCTAAACTTATTTTCAATTTTATAATTAGTTATTTGTCATTATGCATTTATTTGAATTTTCTTGTCCAGACATTTCTAAAGATTTATGAATAAGAAAAAAATTTAATGTCCTATTTAATGCTTTATAAAATTGTACATAATAAATACTTCATTATAGTTGATTCTTTGCTTTAAACAGATTTCTCAAATATTCAGGACAGTAGACGAGAATAAACAGTTATACTGTTTAATAAATAAATAGGGTGTCTACTCAAATATGGGTACCCACTAATAATAATAAAATCAACTATATATATATATATATATATATATATATATATATATATGCACACGCAGAATACGATGGAAAACTTGTCACCTAAATCTTGCAAAAATGAAAATAATACTGACATCTCATTTTAACAGATATATTTACCAAAATTACACAAAAATATCTTGAAATACTAAAAAGTAAATTTATTTGATAAAATAGCCATTGGCTTCAACCACGGCCTCCAGACGACTTCAGAATTTCCTACAACTCTTCTGGACGGTCTCCTTGTTTAAGTTTGGGAATGCTGCCATAATCCTTGTCTTCAGTTTATCTTTAGTGTTACAAGGAGTTTTGTTAGCCTCTCAACTGTGTCCTACACATAATAATCAAGGGAGTTGCAGTCTGGGGAATTAGATGGCCAGATTTAAGGTGTAATGTGGTCGCAGAAATTGTCCGACAGCCATGACTGGGTTCTCCTACTTGTGTGGCATGGTGCAGAGTCCTGTTACCAGACATAGGATCTTCCAGCAGCCACCCTCTTGACCCAGGACAGCACTACCCCTTCAAGTCACTTGATATAGGTTTGTGTTGAGTCTGAGACCCCCACCACCAAATTCAGGAGTTGTTCTCTTATCAGAACGATCAGAGTGAGTTTTCCGAGCTGCCATACCTTCATCACCATTAGACTCATCCAACGCTTTCTGAATCCTCTGCATTGTCCACTCTGAAATGTTCATATTGGAGCTTCCAGCGCGAATGCCAAGCAGTATAGCACAGCATTTCCAAATTTCTGGTGGAGTGAATTGTGTTATGGTGCTCTTTTTTCTTACAGACAGTGTCCAACTGACCCGACTATACTGTGCAGAAACAAAGAACATCCATGCACAAAATTAAAAATATAAAATGGCGACAATTTACCCATCGCATAGTTTGTGTGTATATATATATATATATATATATATAGATATACAGAAGAAGAGTGTAATTATCTATATCCTTCTCTCTATATATATATATATATATATATATATATATATATATATATATATATGAGATAGAGAGAGATATAGATGATTACAGACTCTTCAACAATACAGGACAAATTTTCTTCAGGTTCCAAAGCCAAAATTTTATCTTTTATAGAAAGAAAGAAAGAATCTAAAAAAAAAAAAAAAAAAAAAAAAAAAAAATTCTTCAGAAGTAAAACATTTATAACTTTGAGAAAATAATTA